TAAACGTAACCTATTAATTAATTATGTTATTTTCTTGTACTTGACAGCATAGAACAGCGCTAGTTCAAGTGTGTACATGTCCGAAACCGAAAATTTGTTGGGAGTCAGCGGATTGTTTTGATTTGGAAACCAGTCCAGAACAAGTTTTGTTCTGCGAGCATCAAATTTTTAGTCAGGAGTCACGAATTATCGTTGTGCGAACGCTTTTGACCTATTCAGTGAACTCTAAGTACGTAGTATAGAGCATAGATTAATACAGATAGTATAGAGTTCACTGGACCTATTACGCATGTGTTAAATACACTAAAACACTATCAAATGGCAATATAAAGGTAAATCAGAAAGCCGAAAATACAATTAGAAAGAAATATTTCTCAAAAACTAAAAGTAGAACACCTACAAATTTGGAATCTAATGTCGTTTATCAAATTCCTTGCCATGACTGTGAAAAGTGCTACATAGGCCAAACGGGTCGTTATTTGGGAACAAGGATAACAGAACATAAGAGGGATGTAATCAATGTTTTCAATCCCTTAAAACGCAAACAAAATTTAACTGCTCTTGCGGAACACAGTTTGTCTACATTACATACTTTTGATTTTGATTCTACACGAATCATTGATAAACAGACAATTTTGAAAAAGAGATTATTAAGTGAAATGATTAATATAAAACGAGAAAACTCTGTCAACAAACGCAGCGATATAGATAATTTACAAACATCGTATTTTAATCTTATAGACAGAAGTAAGAGACACAGACATTTAACAACAATATAGCTCTGGTTTTATACACATTTCAATTTCTTTGAATGTTTTTTNATTGGTTGGTGAGCATTTTCATCAGTAGGCCTTCATGCCAAACCGTATCGAAGGCCTTTGCGACGTCCAGGAAGACAGCACCAGTGTACTGTCCCCTGTTGAAGGCCGCCGTGATGTGCTCGGTAAGGCGAAGGATTTGGAGTTCAGTGGAGTGATTGGGTCGGAAGGCGAACTGCTCGTCTGGAATGACTTGCAGTTCTTGGGAGTGGGTTCTTAGACGGGTTAGGATAATTTTTTCTACCACTTTGCTCATAGCCGGGAGCAGGCTAATGGGCCGGTAGTTGGATGGGATGGTGTGATCTTTGTTGGGTTTTGGGATAAGGATTATGTTTGCTGTTTTCCAGCGGGTAGGGAAGTGTCTTAGTCTGAGTGTCGCGTTTGTTATGTTTAGTAGGGCCATGAGGCCCTTGTGTGGTAGTCGTTTAAGTGTCGTGTTATGTATATTGTCGGGTCCGGGGGCTTTTCTGTTTTTAAGTCTGCGTATTGTCAGTCTTAGTTCGTCAGGTGTTGCGGGGGGGATTATGTCATTGTCTGGCTCTCTGTCGACGCGTCGGGCCGCGCGCTCAGCCACTATCTCGAATTCCTCGTCTTCGTCGGGCAGCTGAGGCAGTCTACACTGCAGTTCCAGGCTATCGGCGAAAGCCTCGGCCTTTTCCTGGTTCGTGTAAACCACCCCCACACTACCGTGGATTGGAGGAATTTTACGGCGAGCGGTCTGTCGCAGGGCCCTCTGCGTTTTCCAGAGGCTGTTGTCTTGTGGATCCAGCGACTCCAGGTGCCTAGCCCAGTTATCCTGGGCCAGTTCATCCAGAGCCGCCTTCACCCGTCTGTTAAGTACGTTTAAGTCATGTCTGTGTCGGGGGAGGCGGGTGCGGGTGGCAAGCCGTTTCGCACGTCGTCTGTCACGTATTAAGTTTTTTATGTCATCGGGGAGGGTGCCCCGGGGGTTTGTCAGTCGGGGGACAATAGTCTCCGTCGTAGTCTGAGTCAGGGCGTTTTTAATGTCAGCTTCAAGGGAGAGGATTGCCGCCTCCAGATCATGTGTGGTTTCGATGACTGGGAGCGCGATGTTTCCTTGCATTACTGCTCGGAAGCGCTCTCAGTCAGTGAACCTCCTCGTGAAGGTGCCTTCATATCTCTGTCTTCGTCCCAGATCCAGAAATATTGGATTGTGGGCGGAAGACCCTTCGTATTGGGTGGATATTTGGGCATTTAACGGTATAGATTTTAAGAGGGCAATGTCGATAACGTCGGGGCGTCCTACGGGTCCGTAATGTGTCGGTTCTGTCGGTCCGAGTATAGTCAAGTCGTCGTGTCTGTCTTGGTAATTCAGCAGGACGCGACCTCTTGTGGTCGTCGTCCCGCTGTGCCATATGGGGGACTTCGCGTTGAAGTCCCCGATGGCAATTGTCTGGGGCCAGGAAAGGATTTTGTCTAAGTCATTGTCAAGTAGTGGTAGTCTGGGTGGGTGGTAACAGGACACCACCGCAACGTCTCCATGCCGTAGCGATCTCACCGCTATCGCCACGGCCTCTGTGTTTTGAGTTTGGAGCCGCTGCAGCGGATAGTGGTCGATGCACTTCTTTACTATGAGTGCAACACCACCCCCGTTACGGTTTCTGTCATGTCTGTATATGTCATAGTCAGGGATGGAGGTACGGGATGCCTCGCTGAGGTAGGTCTCCTGGACAGCCATAACGTCTATGTTTAGACGGTTCAAGATGTCCACGAGTTCCGTTTTTTTGGCCCGGAACCCGTCAAGGTTCCAGGACGAAATTCTCAGCGA